CATCCATGGCCAGCACTGCCCGTGGCAGGTGGAAGGCGGGGGGGGGGGGCACCTGGGACCACATCTACATGGCTCTACCGAGGTCCGGGTCCGCCAGTTTTGTTGCCATTCTCAAGTTGTCAAGGGATGGGAAGGTGTAATTTTTTTTTTCTGTAAGGTCCTGAGGACTGATGCTGAGTTGTGTCCCTCCCTTCCTGCAGCAAGCTTCCTAGAGGAGAACACCACAACCAGGAAGTTCCTCAGGGGACTGAAGCCAAGGGGATTTGTTTCCCACACAGAGGAGCATGTGGAAGACTGGATAGCAGACCTGAGAAGGTGCCAGAGGCCCCATGTCATGTGGGAAGGGTCTACAGGCAAATGACAACCATAGGAGGGGATAGGCACCATGACCTTCCTGGTCCATGGACACACAAAAGGGGTCCTTGGAAACTGACTGAAGGGCTCACTGATGACTAAGTAAAGCTCTCCCGTACAGTCATGGCTGGACGTCTCTCACTGGATTTCTTTTCATGCTTCCTCAAGCACTCTCTGTGGTCTCAGGGGGGAACCCCAAGCACTGGCCACAGGGGAAGCCTGGGAAGCCACACAGTTCCCCACTAGCTCCTGTTCTTATGGTCTTTTCTGTATGCAATGACTTTGGTGTTTGAGGTGTTAATGAAAATAAGTGATTACAACACACTATGTATACGGAGATGATGGCCCTTCTGGTTGGGGCGGGGGCTGTGGTCACAGAGCCAAGCCCAGGCCTCCCTGGGCCCATCCAGTGTATCAGTGTGGCTGGTGCTGTGTAAAAATAACCCAGAGGCATTATTGACGAGTTATTATTACCCCAGCCTGGCGGTCCATGGCGTTTCTGAGTTGTGTGCTTGCTAGACCGCGTTCCCGCTGGCCGCCCTTGGCCTTGGAAGCCAAGCTGGGGCACTTATCGATCAGGTTAGCTCTCAGTGAGGTCCCTCTCTGAAGAGGTTTCAGCTTTTCTCCTGCAGCTATTTTTAGGGACCTGGGCTCTACAGATGGGGCCCGTCTCAGATGACTGCATGTGGCCATGATGCCACTGCTCATGGGGAGCCCAGGCTGTCTGGAGTGATGTGAAGTGGCTGCCTTCTCCTTCCTCACCCTGAGCAGCACTGGCCTTCACTCATGGTGTCCTGCTGGGATGGCAACCTGGAGGCTTCAGGCCCACTCAACATGTATTCTGGGTGTTTCTAACCTGCTTGCTTAGTAATAAGGTCATAGACCAAAGATTTGAAACCCCACTATTAAACCTTGGTCCATTTGAGAGCCAGGCATGAGAGCTCATGACTGTTGTCTTAGCACTCTGGATGCTAAGACAGGAAGCTTATGAGTTTGAGGCTAGATTGGCTTATATAGAGAGACCTGGTTTCAAAAAACAAAGGCTGGTAATAGCCACCAAGCCTGACAGCCTGAGGTCAATACCCCGGACCCTCATGGTAGGAGAGAACTGGCTTCTGCAAGTTGTCCACTGACCTCTACATATGTGCCCCTCCCCAAATTCATGAAAAAAAATTTAAATCTTTGACCTCTTTAAAAATGTAGATTCATGTTGGTTAGAGCCTAGAGGACCACTAGCTGAGGGTGTGTTGGCAGCTTCCTTGGCTGGCTAAGTTGGATACAAACTCCCAGAATGGAAGAGACAGCTGAGACTGGGCCATTGGTCCCCTACCCTTGCTAGCCAAGTGTCAACAGTCTGTGCTGAGTGACACGTGGAAGGCTTTACCCCAGGACCGAGCCTGACTCAACAGCCCTAAGAAGTTGGTCCTAGGGTGAAGAGTCCGGAGACTACAGGGACAGGACATAAGAGTCAGCACGGACCTACCTCAAAGTGGATGGCCCCGTTCCCATCAGCATCGAAGGCATTGAAGAGGAAGTGTGCATAGGTGGTAGCATCTAGAGGGAGAAAAGGCAAGGCTGGAGTTGGAGGGCTTCCTGGAAGACTGTTTGGCTCTCACATAGTCCTGCCTGGAGCTTCCTGCCCAGTGGGAGTTCCTCTCTGGTAGGTCAAAGGCAACATCAGGCCCTCCAAACAGGAAGGGTTAGGAAGGGGTGTCTAGGAAGGTAGGGGTGGTCATAGGGCACCCTCCCCAGAAGACAGGTGTAGTCATGGCTTCCAGGAAGTGGGGGAGCCTGACCTTGGACTTACCTCCCTGGGGGAAGAACTGGGAATAAATGAGTTTGAAGGTGTCTTCATCCACCAGGCCCGTAGGACACTCCTGCAGGGGGAAATCACACCTCTCAGTGGCCTTGGCCACTCCTGGCTCCATGCCTCACCTCACGGGCTGACTCCTCTCCAGCCTCTTGGGAGATAATCACGACCTGAGGCACAGTTGGGCCCCTCTGAGCCCTGGGCTAGGGAAGCTCTTTGTGGAGCAGGCAGAAGGTCGTGTAGACAGGGTTGTGGAGGCTGCTTCCTTCATGACAAGGCTATCCCAACTGATACAGCATCTGAAGCTCTAACAGAAGTGTATATAATATCCATGCTGACTCCCGCCTCCCCCACCCCCCATAGCTCTGTCACAAATATGAGCCCTGCAAAGGCCCTCTAGGGTATTTACTGTACTCTGGAGAAATTTCTAGGTCTCCTGGGTTGGAGACAGGAAGGTGGTCAAGCTCCCTGGAGACTCTGATGGAGACACGGGGACACTCACGTTCTTGAAGCCTCGGTAAAGGGACTGCAGCTCCTTCTTGGTGAACTTGGTTTGGGCCTGTAGCTGGTCCAAGCCCTCTGGCTGATGGCGCACCGTGGACAACTCCAGTTCACTGTCACTGCTGTCTGAGGAGGACACACCCAGCAGGGAGAGAGACATGTAGTGTGGGCCAGAGCCAGGACACAGGCAGAGAGAGAGGGCGCAGGGAGTCTGCTTGTGTGACTGCCCTGTACAGCCATGCTGGTTGTTAACGGCGCAGATGAAGAGGCTGTGACAGAAGGGAACCCTTAGGAGTTGTCTTGTAGGTGTTCTAAGTCTCTCTTCCTGTCACCCTGAGCATATCCACTCCTCAGTCACATGGGGAATGGGAGTAAGAGGGAGACTCTGAATGGGGGAGACACAAGAGAAAGACCTGATGATAAGATACTACTTTTACAAACTATCTCTTCCATGCAGCCCTCTTTGATTTCACCAGGAGTGGGAAAGGCATTAGTCTACGCCAGTCTGATGAGCTTGCCGCTTAGTTGGGTAGGGGCAAGGTCTATCCTCATTCCTATTATTCCCACTTCTGTTAAAAACAACACACCAGAATGTGAGCCGGGGCTGCCTTGGGGTGAAGTGAGACTTCTAGTAAGCTTTTCTGGTTACCAGACTCCCCACCCCTCCAACACACACACACACACACACACACACACACACACACACACACTTTCTCGGGAATGCTTCATGTTCACAATACAAAGCCAAAGCTGTGGACAAGAGGCCTGCAAGTGCCTATGCCTTGTGTGTGACATGTTCTCAAAATGCTATGCTTTCCACTGACACAGGTGACCTGTTATATCACAGCTATGTTTCTACCAACAAAGGAGGTTATAGACTGCACAGCCATGCCTGCTGGGCCTGGGGCAGCCGTCACACATGGCTCTGCCTGGTGTCAGAAGCACCTGATGTTTCCTGGTTAACTACATACCCTGGTTCCTTGGTGAGGGCGTTATCTCTTCCTTCTCTTATGTTTTGGTACTGTGTTCCTGCTTCATTTAGAAGATGCACCCAGAGAGAAATTCCCCAAAATACTTCCCAGCCCTGTATGCTTACCCTCCTGCTCCATGATATGCCCCTGTCCCTAATGAAGGTGAACTCTGCCATGTGGGTGGTGGACACTGGTCTTCAAGCCTGTAGTTCCTTCTAGTTCTTTTCTCCATGTCTTTCTCCTTCTCTTTGGCAATTCCTACCTTCATATGGATGTAGTGGTACTGAATTTGTTTGTGGTATTAAATTTGAATACAGCATCTTATGCAGGATGGACAAGCGCTCTACCACTAATCTCTAGCCAAGCCCTGGAAACTGTTAAACCTGACTACCTATCAAATGAAGCCTTGGCCAGCCACATGAGAGCCAGCAGTGCCATTCTGGTTGTTGTCCCTTAAGGATCTGTTCCCAGATGGGAGCACTGTACTGGGATGCTCATAGCAGCAGTGAAGGTCTTGTTTGTTTGTTTCACTTTGCTATCAGATGGGGAGCTGGAGACATCTTTGTCTATCATAGCAGGATAAACAGACAGATGTGTGGAGGACATAGCCAAGGAGAAGCCTTCAGTGTGACCTGCACAAGCAGCATGAATGCAGAAGGAACAACTTTGCCTTGGTTAAGAGGCAGACTTTTCAGACTGGGTGATTAAAAACCCTGAACTAAACCAAACCAAGCCAACCAACCACCAACAACAAAATGCTGTCAGAAACGAGAGCCTGAGTACAAAGGCACAGGCTGGGGTAGAATAAAAGGGCAAAATAGAAGAACGAGATAGCCAGAGATTTCATGATGAGAAGATTACTTTATCCAGAAGATACAACAGTACAAAACTTTACTGCACCACTTAAAAATAGCTGCTAAATACCTAAAGCAAAGTAAATAAGTAAATAAAAAATCAGAACTACAGGAAGGAACAGCCCAACCATAGTTGAAGATATGAACATTCTTTTTCAGCAAATGGTACAAGTAGATATAAAAGATTCAGAAGCTACTATCAACCAATTTGGTCTAATTAATATTTATAGAACACTATATAGAGATTGTAGAATACACATTCTTTTCAAAAGCCTATCCTGTGGTTGCCAGGATATACCAGATGCTGGTACATAAAACAGATCTGGCCGAAATGGTAATAAGTTAAAATTCAAATAAGAAATGCTTAGAAAAAAATTCTTAAGTGTTTGGAAATGAAACAATATACTTGTACTAAGCCCACGGGTCAGAGAAGAAAAATTGCAAGGTAAAGTCTGAACTAAGCAATAGTGAAAACACAGAATGCCCAGAGAGAATGCCATATCCTTTAGATTCTTCTACCAGAAAAGAAGATAGGTACCCAGGCACAGTGGTCCATGCCTGTAATCCCAGCATTCTGGGGACTGAGGCAGGAGGATTGCTACGAGTTATAGACCATTTCAGGTTACAGAGTAAAACTATCTCAGAAGAAGAAGAAGAGGAGGAAGAGGAGAAAGAGAAGGAGGAAGAGGAGGAGGAAGAGGAGGAGGAAGAAGAAGAAGAGGGGGAAGAGGAGGAGCAGGAGGAAGAAGAAGAATAGGAGGAGGAGGAGAGATGAAAACCAATGATTCAAGCTTCCAGATCTAAGCTTTTTAGCATCTAAGGAAAATCTTAGTTGGTAAAGTACTTGCCGTGAGAGCATGGGAACCTGAGTTACACATGTGCCCAGTGAGGCAGCTCCATGAGTAAAGAGGCTTTGCAGGGCAAGCCTGAGGACTTAAGCTCGACTCCTGGGAACTCACACATAAAGTCAGATGTGCTATAACATTCTTCTGTAATCTCACTACTCATATGGTGAGGTGGGAGGTGGGACAGAAGAACTGCTTGGAAACTACAAAGCTGGCTATCCTGAAGTCCACAGAGCATCAGAAAAACAAGAGAAACTCTGCCCGAAAACAGGGTGGAGGATAAGAACTGGCTCCTTCAAACTGACCTCTATACATGTACCATGGTATATGTACACACAAGAACACACACACTGAGACACACATACACACATACATATACACATATAAACAGACAGACAGAAAGACACACACACAGAATAGCAAAAAAAATTATAAATTCAAGGTAAATAGAAGAAAGGCCATAAATAAAAGTATAGTGGCGCTTGAGTTGAGCCAGGCATGGTGACTCATACCCTGTAAATCCAACACTCAGGAGCCTGAGGCAGGTGGATATCCCCTAGTACAAAGCCAGACTAGGCTACAGATCCTAGTCTCAAAAAACAAAACAAAACAATAAAAAACAAAAACAAAATCAACAACAACAGACACAATGATAAGAGAAAAATAAGATTAGAGCTCAAGAAACAACAAATAATAACAAATAATACAAAAAATAACAAGTCAACAGAGAAAGGCCAATGAAACCATTATGAAATCCAGTAGGAAGTCATAAGCTAGGAAGACATTCTAATGCATATGAGGGCTCATCTACAGAACATGTAATGAACTTCTGTAAACCAACAGTAATATACCTGATAACTCCATCTTGCCCAAGAGAAGATCTATAAGTGTGCAGTACAAGAGTTGCCCTTAGCATCAGGGCATCAGTCAAAGAAATGCAAACGAGCCCATGTAATCTGCAAGCCTTCCAATCATCTGCCACGTCCATGGGTACCACTGAATGTTGGTGAGGTGTGAATCTCTTGGGAGATGGTAAGTACAAAACAGTGTACGAAATGGACCACTGCTTGGTGGTTTCTTAGGAAACATTTATCAAATTTGTGACAACAATCACGTGGGATAAACAAGAAACACGAAGTCCACAGGAAGGCTTGTGCAAGGATATTCAAAGAAGCCTGATTCTTACTAGTGTATTCAATGACAACACTGAAAGCTGCCTGGTCAATAGAAGCATGGAAGTGTGGCCCATTCATTATAAAGGAACAGCGTTCTCTATTAAAAACAAACAAGGGGGAGGGAGGGGCTGGAGAGATAGCTTAGTGGTTAAGAGCACTGACTGCTCTTCCAGAGGTCCCTAGTTTAATCCTCAGCAACCAGATAGTGTCTCACAACCACCTGTAATGGGATCCAGTTCCCTCTTCTGGTGTGTCTGAAGACAGTGACAGTGAATTTACATAAAACAAATAAATACATCTTAAAAAAATAAACTAGGATCCATTCATATATGGCAACACAAAGCCATCTCAAAATGTTATACAACAGAGAGAACTTTTTCTCAGCCCACGTTCAGTAACATGACCCCATATGGGGCTACAGGCCCCAGTTTAAGACACTGTGTTCTAGACCTAAGGGAAAGTAAGCACAGACGTACTTGGACAAAGCCTAACACTAAGTCTTCCTGTGAAGATCAAATGGGTCGTCCAGGAAAGAACTATCAACCATGTGTGCACATGTGTGTCATGTGTGTGCACGAGCACACAGAGAACAGAAAGGGCCTGGAGCTAATGTCACAGGTGGTTTTTAGAAAGAGGGAAGGGGGGATTGAAAATTAATAATTTAATGACAACAGTCAGGCGTGGTGGTGTGTGCGATATTGTGAAAGCTAGCCAGAGAGGCAGAGACAATTTGTGGCTAGTCTAGGCTACCCAGCGAGACTGTGTCTAGAGAAACAATGGGGGCCAGTAATGCTTCCCTGACCCCCGGTACTCTGAAAACCAAGTTCTCAAAGGACCCCCAGCAATTGTCACACCACAATCCACACAGTAATTTTGGTCTCAGAGTTTCATGACAGCAATGTTATAAGGGAAGACATTTCACTGTGGAAGCTAGACACAAAATCTTGACCCAAGATGTTGTTAGCCAGCTGTGCCCAGCTGTGCTTTTGTTTTGTTGCTGGTTTTTAAAATATATGGCAATTAGGATTTGGAAGATTCTAAGAAGGGAAAATCATATGACTGTCTTACTGTGGGGTTTGCACATGTGTGATCTAGCACTTGGGAGGCAGAGACTGGAGGACGGAAGCTCAAGGTTACCCCTGGCTACGCAGAAAGTCAAGGCCAACCTGAAGTGTGTCAGCCTGTGTCTAAAGAAGAACTGAGGAGGATGAGGTGGAGTGGGGGGGAGGGAGAGGAAGGGGGGGGGGGGGGAGGGGGGGGGGGAGGGGGAGGAGATGAGTT